TGGTCCTGAGCCAGCAGCTTGGGGACAGGCTGGCCAGTCTGAGGCCCAAGGACCGGGCAGAGGCGGGTGTTTGCGGGTACAGAAAGTCTGTGCATCCCTTCGGATGGCTGGACTGCAGGGTCTGCTGGGCTCTGCCCCGAGTCGGCCGGTGCGTGCGGGTGGTCGTGCAGGGAGGGGCTTCTCCCTGATCTGGAGTCGGGCAGATGGTCCAGCTGGGTGCTTGGTTACGGAACTCCAGGTGCCTCCCGGCATCTGCACCCAGTGCCTGGATTTGAATCATGGGTGAGGTTTGGGGCCTTTACTGCTGGGTCACTGAGGCTTCCCTTAAAGGCCCACGCAGTAAATAACGTGGCCCGCGGCCAGGAGGCCGAATCCGTGGTGTCTGGGTCCTTGTATAACCTGAGGCTCACAGTGTGTACATGTGTACGTGTATACACGTGTCCGTATACATCACATGTTGTTGTTGTTATGTGCCATCGAGTAGGCCCAGACTCATAACAACCCCTCCTTGGGTTTCCGAGGTGGTATCACTACAGAAGTAGGATTGCCCAACCTTCCTTCTGAGGAGTGGCTGGTAGGTTTGAACTGGCAGCCTTCACATACATATACACACGTACACATATATGTGTATACACATATATATGCATGCATGCATATATACATGTGTACGCATATACATGTGCAGATGTAACCTGAAGCACACATACATACATGTACACATGTGCATATATACATGCACACTGTTGTACATATATGCACATATGTGCACGAACACATTTTGTTCTGTATAAGTACATGTATACCCACATACATGTACACACATATACATATGTAACCCCGGGGACACACATATACAGTCTATACACATACATGTATACATATATACACATATGTACTTGTATACGTATATGCATACATAACCAGAAGCACACATATACACACAAATAGATATGTATATACACATACACACGTATACACTTGTACACAGATAACTAACTAACTCCCTGCCGTTGAGTTGATTCTGACTCATAGTGACCCCTCCTTGGTTTTCTGAGGTGGTGTCACTACAGAAGCAGATTGTCCAGCCTTCCTTCCAAGGAGCGGCTGGTGGGTGTACATACACACATGTGTACATGCATAACCAGAGCCACACATATATATGCATATACATCCGTACATATATACACATGCACGTACATAGAGTTGTATGCTATGTACGTATACACATACACATGTGCATGTATAACCTGAGCCACACACATATACACATGTACGTATATACACATAACATATACACTGGTACACAATATACACATACACATAGCATGTAAACATCCATAACGAGAGCACACATATATACTCATATACACATGTTATTTAACACACACACGTAAGCACTTGTACACATGTGTATATACATGCATAACCCGAGGCACATATATGTAAACATATACACATGTATGTATATACAAACATACACACGTAGACTTGTATGCATAGATGTGTGCACACATGTACAGTATACCTGTATGTGCGTATAAATACATAACCTGAGGCGCGCGCACACACACACACACCTGTGTAGCCCAAGGTCGTCTGTGGTAAGGAAGGGCGGCCCCGTGTGCCCACATAGCAAGCGTTGGTTCAGGAACTGGTCATCTGTGATGAGGGAAAGCGACCCTGTAGTTCACATGGTTAAGCATTTGGCTACTAGCGTAAGTGTTGGGGTCCGAATCCACCCTGAGGCGCCTTGGGGTTAAGCCTGGTGATCTGTTCCTGAAAAAGCAGCCGCTGAAACCCCAGCGGGTGCGGTTCTGTCGCGGGCCTGGGCTTGGCACGGGCTCCACGGCAGCTGGTCGGCTTTCTGGTTATAGGACCAAAGTCAGGTCTTCTAGATACTTGTGTAGCTGAGGGCTCTGGGGCGCAGTGGTCAGTGCTCACCTGCTAACCAAAAGGTCAGCAGTTTGAACCCACCAAGGCGCCTTTCTCCTGTGAGAGAAAGATGAGGCAGTCTGCTTCCGTGAAGACTGACAGCTTTGGAGACCCTGTGGGCAGTTCCACTCTGTCCTCTAGGGGCGCTGTGGGTCAGAATGGACTCCACGGCAGTGGGTGTGGTTTGGGCTTTGCTTCTGTGAAGACTGACAGCCTTGGAGACCCTGTGGGCAGTTCCACTCTGTCCTCTAGGGGCGCTGTGGGTCAGAATGGACTCCACGGCAGTGGGTGTGGTTTGGGCTTTGCTTCTGTGAAGACTGACAGCCTTGGAGACCCTGTGGTGCAGTTCCACTCTGTCCTCTAGGGGCGCTGTGGGTCAGAATGGACTCCACGGCAGTGGGTGTGGTTTGGGCTTTGCTTCTGTGAAGACTGACAGCCTTGGAGGCCCTCTGGGGCAGTTCCACTCTGTCCTCTGGGGCGCTATGAGTGGAATAGACTCCAGGGCAGTGGGTGTGGTTTGGGCTTTGCTTCTGTGAAGACTGACAGCCTTGGAGGCCCTCTGGGGCAGTTCCACTCTGACCTCTAGGGGCGCTGTGAGTAGGAATAGGTTCTCCAGCAGCTGTTCTTTTTTCTTTTTTTTCGGTTTACATAACTGCTTAAAACACAACCATTTAAACTGTACAAACCATTGTGAGCCCCTGGGTCCTGGGAGCTGGGGTGAGGTTGGTCTGTGGGTGAGTCGGCCAACCCTTGTTCTACATCCTCATGATTATGGAAGGATGACACAGTGTGTGTGGGCGTCGCACGCACGTCCTGTGCAGGAACCTGCAGGGGCTTTTCCCATGGACCCAGTGAGGTAGGTAGGGTGGGGTTCCTGTGCACTGAGGGCTCTTTCCCCAGGGAAGTTGCCCTAGGCAGGGGCCTGGAAGGAGAAAGGTCACCTGGTCTACTCACTTCTCTCTCCCCAGGGAGGTGGGTGCAGGTATTCCTGATGTTATCTCTGTACTTCTGACTTTGAAATTTCCATAATAAAAAGTAGAGAAAATAGTTACAATGGGCCCCAGCTGTTAAAACACCTCCGTATTGAGAAAACAGGGCGTCTGTACCCTGCATCTCTGTCAGGCCCTACATCAATGGGGTAAACTCTTGCTCATCAGTTTCCTAGCAGCAGATGAACCTGAGAAGGCAGTTGTGTGTGCTGTCCATCCGTCCACTCATCCAGCTGTCCATCCACCCACTCATCTGCCCATGTGTTGGTCCATCCATCCATCCACTTGTCCATCTGTCCATTCGCCTATTCATCCCCCATCTGTTGGTCCATCCATCCACCCACCCATCCACTCATCCATCTGTCCACTCACCTACTCATCTGCCTGTCTGTTGGTCCCTCTATTACCCATCCACTCATCCGTCCACTCACCCACTCATCTAAATGTCCATTGGTCCACCCACCCATCCATCCGTCTGTCCATTTACCCACTCATCTACCCATCTGTTGGTCCATCCATCCATTCACCCACCCACCCACCTGCCCATTTGCTCACTCATCTGCCTGTTTCTTAGTCCATCCATTTGTATTACCTGTCCATTAACCTGCCCATCCAGCCATCCTACCATGCAGCCACCCACCACACATCCATCTGTCTGCCTATCCGTCCATCCATTGAGCCACCCATCCATCTTCATCGGTCCATTCACCCATCCATCCACTTCTGTATTATTTGTCCTTCCAGCCATCTGTCTGTCTGTCCATGTACCACCCATCTGTTCATATGTCCATCCAGCCACCCATTCATCTACCCATCCATCTGGCCATCAAACTGCCTGTCCCCCTGCCCCCCCCCCCTGCAGTTTATGTCGCATGTGCTGGAGTCCAGGCACTGTGCTTAGGCTGTGACATGGTCTGTGCCCCCCAAGGAGCCCACAGCCGTGTGACAG